TAACTTGGAAGATAATGGGTTTTGCCAAACTGTGTTTTGCCTTTTATAACTAGAGAGAAATGCTTTCTGAATGTCTTTATTCTGTCTTACCATCTACGCATTTTATGGAAAAGATTGCCTATGGAAAATGTTAGCTATTTCAAATTCTAATCTAGGCTTCACTGTGCATAGATATGTAACCTTGGGACAAAGAACAACATACTAAGCCTCAGTTTCTTTCTCTAGGAAATGAAAATAACCACAAAGACAGAAAATATGTGTAAATCATCTGGAACAGTGCCTGGCTATAGTAATAGGTCAGATATCTCAATGTTCTTCTAGTCCCTGGGTCCAGGGATCAAATGGCACAATTGACCATATGGGATCCAGCCACTTTAACCAGCATGTCACCAGCTGGCTCTTCTTTGTTTTAGTTTAGTTTAGTTATTCCATGAGTAAGAGAGACAGCTACAGCACTCCCAACAGGGTCTTGATGCCGTAATCTATCCCCATCCAGCCCAAATCATGTGCCCAGGGCACTCAAGGTGGTTTCTAGTCATGAACTTAGAACCTACCAGGGGGGTCTGCCTTATAGAACGTTGTAGTTTACTGCTGTGCCACTGTCTGGCCCCTATTTTGTTTGTTGTTTAATTTTTTAATTTATTTTTAACAAAAGCTTTGTGTGTACTAATAAAAACATCATGGGTATGATCTCTGATCTAAAAGTATCTGAATTGTACCATCCCTAAAGATGGGAAGAATATTACTTAGAAGTGGTACAGGATAATAAGAACAAATCATACTTGGCAATACTGTTCCATATTTCTAGTTTATATTTTGGTTACTTATTCATTAATACACAATTCAAATGTTCTGGGTATGATTTAAGTTATTTTGAGTGGGGAGTTTTTCTCTAAACACAGTTATTTGCCTGAACAGATGTGGTTTGACAGATGGAGTGGGCAGAGGTATAAATGCTGTCAGATTGGACTTGAGTATGTAATTGGGAATTCATTATATTATAAAAAAGTACAGAGTATTTTCTGTTTTTTATGTTTCTGTAATTAAATATTTTTAACATTTTTATGTAAAATAGTATGTTGAGTTTAAAAGCTCAAGAGCGCAGGTTGATTTTTTTTTTTTTTGGAGAGGTTTTTGCTATAGGGCGCATGTGCTCGCCAGAGAGAGATAGAGAGATAGAAAGCGAGAAATCACCCCCCAGGGGGATGGCCATGCCACAATCCCTTCTCCTCTCGGGATCTTGGACATGCATGCACACGTGCCCAGCGTGAGTTTAAGCCACCGGGTCTGGGACTCAAACTGCGGTTGGCTACATGGGAGTTCAGTGACATAGCCATTAGACTAACTGCTGGTCCCAGGTTGATTGCTTTTACATAAACCCTATAATATAATACATTTTCACTATGTTTATTTTTTTTTTAAAAGATTTTTGCCAGATAGTGGGTATGTTTGCCAGGGGGTTGGTAGAGGGGGAGAAAACACCCCCAACGGGACATAGTCATGCCTCAATCCATTCTTCCCCATTCTCCACTCTGTTAAGATTTTTGGGCCACATACGCACACACACCTGGCAGTTTTTCAAGCTGCCTGGGTCAAGGTTCAAGCCACGTGACTAGTCATGTGGCACCCAGCTGCTTTAACCACCAGGCCATGGAGCCAACCCCTCTTTATAGATTTATACAAAGTGTATGGAGCACTTTTCTAGGATATTCATGTAAGAGCACTCACATAGATTATAATATTTTGTACATTTTACAGAATAGTATAGAAGAGTTTTTTAATTTCAAATCAATTTTCTTTTTGTATTATCTTTAAAATATCATATAATGACTTTAGAAATTGTCCAGCTTATTACTGTAACTGTAAAACTCTTAGATCTTACTCATCAATCTGCTGAACTGTTCCCTTTTCAGAGACTTAGATACCATGCAAGAATTTTCTTAAATCCTTATTTTTAACTGTCATGGCTTACTGTATCAAAGCAGCTGAATTTGAAACAAGTTTAATATTGTTGCCTTCAAGGATCAACTCATCTTTCTGGGCTTGAGATACTGAATGAATAATACCTGGTCACACTTGAGCCCTGCGAATGTATTTTTATACCCAGAAATTTCAGATTTCAACAGGAGACACATTCTCCTGAATAATGATGGGTAAATGAGCATACACAGACCTCATCTTGTAACAGAAGCCCAGTGTAACACCCTTGATCATGTTCTACAGATAGTGCGAGCTGTAGCCAGTTCCTTTCTGTTTCCCCACCGTTTGTCAACCCGCAGCCTCCTCTTTTTCTTTCCGAGGAGACTGAGCTCTACATTGATGTGATTAAAGTCCCTCCGCAGGATTCCTCTGGGGCCCTTCACAATAACTGTGCATCCATCCCTTCAGAGAGGTCAACATTCCCGGGAATGTTGATCTGATCTTCATCCTTGCAGTAGATGTGGCCAGAAGAGGTTTTTTTTTTTTTTTTCTTTTTTTAATGTTGCTGGTGACAGAAAATTATTTTTAATTAAAAATAATAATAATAACAATTCAGTGGCCCAGCCTCAGTGGCATGCAGCACCACTGCTAGGGAGCCTAAGGCAGCATGGGAGGCCCAGATTCAGTTCCAGGCCTGACCTGACACACCAGATGCTTACAGTCCTAGATGTTAGGGAGGCTGTGACAGGAGGATGGTGGCTTAGCAAGACCCTGTCAAAAAGCCTATCTTTGTCTCTCTCCTTTTTTCTTCCTTCCTCTTCCTCGCTCTCATAACAGGGAAAAATTCAGTATGATCAAACACTATTTAAAAGTGAAAGATCATAGGTAAAGAATATTTTACACTGATTTGGGAAATAAAATAATTATTAGTAAATGTTATTTATTGCCTGATACTGCATTTTTTTAATGTTTATTATCTCATTTTTCAAGTAAAAAATCCAACAATGGACTCTGTCTAGAGATCTCTAACAGCTCTCTCCTCATTACTTGCTGCCCACCCTTAAGCCAGACACTGACAAGTAGGAACAGTGTTACCATAATTATTTTGCTTTTTGTTTTAATTTTTATCATAGGGCATGTGTGCTCCCTGGAGAAAGAGAGAGACACCACCACCACCCCCTCCCCAGGTGGGATGACCATGCAATTCCTCCCCTTCATTCTCTTTTCAGGATTTTGGGTACCCAAGCACACGTGTCCTGCGTGTTTTTCAAACCACCAGGTCCTGGATTTGAACTGCACAGCCATCTGGGATCCAGCTGCCTTAACCACCAAGCCATAGGCTGGCCCACTATGATTATTTTATATCAATAAAGGTTTACCCCTAATCTGAGTAAAGGTCACACTCTCTGAGTGCCAAGTCTTATGAAGAGAGACATTTACTTTACGTAAATAAAATTAAGATTCTATTTCAAAAGAGGGAGAAAAGTAATCTTAGCTATCACTTCTGTTTTAATAGTAGGAAAACTGGGACCAGCAGTTAGCGTAATGGCTGTGTTGCTGGACTCCCACATAGTCGACCGCTGTTCGAGTCCCGGACCCAGTGGCTTAAACTCATGCCAGGTGCGTGTGCGTGCATGTCCAAGATCCCAAGAGGAGAATGGAGGAGAAGGGATTGCGGCGTGGCCATCCCCCCTGGGGGGTGATTTCTCGCTTTCTGTCTCTCTCTCTCTGTCTGTCTGGCGAGCGCACGCGCCCTATAGCAAAAACCTCTCCAAAAAAAAAGGAAAACTGAGGTGTAGAACATTAGGTGACTTGCCTTGGTCACAGAGTGGTAAGTGGTAGAGGGAGATGTAATCACGTGCACCAGGCCCATTATCACAGTGCTGTTCACTCCCTGTGGTGACCAAAGAAACTTGGAGGACTTGATGGTAGCAGTGGTGGACGTACAGTATAGACACAGCTTTACCATCTTGCTGTCTCCCACGAAAACTTTTGAGGTAACCACTTGGGTTTAGAACTCTAAATAGGACTAGGTGAATTGAAAGGGAAGGTATAAAATATGGTCTCTTCTTTCAAGAAGTTCAAATTTATTTCTGAAGAATAAGAGTAAGAAGAAAACAGCAGATGACATTTATAGAAGGCATAATTAATTATAACAGTGAACCAGAACCAGTACCAAGGGACTTTTTTTTTTTTTTTTAATCACTGGGTGTGTGAGCTCACCAGATAGAAAGAGTGAAAAAGGAGAAAGCGTCTCTTTCTCAAAGCACCTCCCCCCATTGGGGTGTGGTCATGCGACAATCCCTTCACCTCCATTTCTCCATCCTGTCAGGATTTGGGACATGCATGCCCATGTGCCTGGCAAGTTTTTGTTTGTTTGTTTTCAAGCCGCAAGGTCCAAGACATGAACCACATGGTCGATTGTATGGGATCTAATTCTGTGAACCATCAGGCCATGGATCAGCCCCAAGGGACATCTTAAAAGTACTTGATTTAGGAAGGTTTCATGAGATAAAAATTCCATACTTCAAAGGAAAAGACAACCTAATTAAACAATAAAAATATTAATGAAAGAAAAGATTCAAAAGAAAGTTCAGACAGTGATTTGTCTACCTGAAATGCCCTGGACAACTCTTTTTTATTGGGTGGGGGGGTGGGGAGTTTTTGCTATAGGGCGTGCACTCGCCAGAAAGACCGAGTGAGACAGAGAGATGGAAAGTGAGAAATCCCCCCTGGGGGGGATGGCCACACCGCATTCCCTTTTTCATTCTCCTCTCTGGATCTTGGGCATGCACATACACATGCCTGTGAGTTTAAGATGCCGCATCTGAGACTCGAACCGCGGTCAACTACTTGGGAGTCCAGCGACATAGCCATTACAGCCATTACGCCACTGCTGGTCCACCCTGGACAACTGTTGTATCCCATTGGGACTTTGGGGTTTTCCTTGGTATGTATCAGGTTTTCTCATTTTTATCAGACAAAATCGTTGCTGCCATCTACACAGACATTTCCCTATTAAGCACTCACTGTGTGCATGGTGCTCACGTATTTCTTTTGTTTACATATGCTCTCTTTAGGTCAGATGTCCTGTAATCCTTCCTTTGGTGGCATTGGAAAGGGGCATTTAATGAGAGAAGTTGATGCCTTGGATGGGCTGTGTTCTCGCATCTGTGACCAGTCTGGTGTCCATTACAAAGTGTTAAATCGGCGCAAGGGACCAGCCGTGTGGGGCCTGAGAGCTCAGATTGACAGGAAACTCTATAAAGAGAACATGCAGGTAAGTGCAGGGCCCAAGAACAGGGAGGCTGATTGCTTAACTGCTCTCCTTCAGTTGCCATTTTCTTTCGACAGAAAGAAATCCTGAACACACCACTGCTTACTGTTCAGGAGGGAGCGGTGGAAGATCTTATTCTTACAGAACCCGAGCCTGAACATGCTGGGAAATGTCGTGTCAGTGGTGTTGTCTTGGGTAGGTACTGGCTATAGTTAGTAATAGAAACGTGTCTAACAACATGTGAGAAATGTATTTTAGAGTGAAGTATGAAGGCTCCTCAAAGTTCATGGGAAATTTCTATTATGAAACAATATGCATGATCTCAAGACCATTCCCTATAGGGGTTGTTTTCTCACTTTCCCTCAGTCTTTGTCTCCCTTCAGTGGTGCATGTGCCCTCTAGCAAATAAAAAAAAAAGTTTGTAAAAATAGTGAATTATGACTTTATTTTGGTAAAAAAATGTTTTTAAATCAATGCATAGTTTTTTCATAATACACACTTTCATGAGCTCCTCATACCTCTGTATTTCTAAACAGTATACTTATATTTTTACTTGTGAAAATGATACATCCTACCTAGGTGTTAACTATTTTTGGTACCCCTACCTTTTAAATTACTTTATTTTTATTCATAATAGAGCACACGTGTGCAGAAGGGAGAATGGAAAGAGAGAAAAATGGAGAGAGGGTCACCAATGATCATGCCTCAATCCTATTTCCTCCATTTCCCTATGCTGTCAGAATTTTGGGCTCACATGCTTATGTACCTGTCATGTTTTTCAAGTCACCATGGCCAGCTTTATGGGATCTGGTTCCCAATGCACAGCCCTTAGCCACTGCACTATGGGGCCAGCCCTTGAGTCCTTAAATGTATTTTTTTAATCTAGATTTTTGCTAAAAGGCATGTGCATTTGTGGGAAAGAAACAGAGACAGAGAAAGTTAAAAATCAGACATGTTGTAATCCCTTCTCCTCCAGTCTTCTCTTGGGATTTTGGGCATGCATGCACATGCACCTGGTGTGATTTTCAAGCACTGGGTCCAGGACTTGAACCATAGAGTAGGCCATGTGGGATCCAGTACCTAAATTACCATGCCACCTGCTCGCCTCAAGTCTTTATGTATTGGGTTGTTGGAAAAGTCATGGCATATTTTTCTATGTTTTTCTATGCAAAAATGCATCATGACTTTTCTTACAATCCAATGGATTTTAAAATTATTATTATTATTTTTTTTGAGAGGTTTTCGCTATAGGGTACATGCTCTTGCCGGAGAGACAAAGAGACAAAAAGCAATAAATCATGCCTCAGGGGGGATGGCCATGCCACAATCCCTTCTTCTCCATTATCCTCTTAGGATTTTGGGTACATATGCATATGTACCCAGCATGAATTTCAAGACTCCAGGTCCGGACTTGAGCCACAGTTTACTATGTGGAGTCCAGCAATGTAACCATTATGTTGTCTGCTGGTCCTTACAATTCAATGTTTTAGAATGTATTATTCTCGAGGCCAACATGTGGCATGGTGGTTAAGGATGCTGGACTCCCACGTGGCCAACCATGATTCGAGTGCTGAACCTGGCTTGCTTTCTCACTTTCCCTCTCTCTCTTGCTCTATTGCTTTCTGGTCAAATTTTTAAAATAAGGAAATAAATAAATAAAGTTAAATAAAATAATTATTTTTAAAAAATGTATTATTTGCCCTTTCAGACTTGACTATTTTTTAAATGTCGTGGAGGGTTGGAAAGAAGGGTGGGGAGGGAGAGCGAGAGAGAACCACCCAAGTGTGTGGTCACTCTGCAGTCCCTTCTCCATTTTTCCATTTCATCAGGATCTAAAGCACAAATGCACATATGCCCAGCATGTTTTATGGGCTGCTGCAGCCAGTACTGAAACCCCGTTTGCTAGCTACAGGCCCAGCTCCAGACTTGATTAATCTTTTTCCTTTGGGACTTTGATAATCTTACTCCACTATCTCCTAGCACCTGATTTTGCTGTTGAGAAGCTCAATGCTATATGGATTTAGGTTTCTTTTTCTTTTTTGGTATATTGCTCTATATGCTTTTCCTCTCTCTTAAAACTTAAGGATGTTGTTGTTGTCTCTAGTGTTCAGAAATTTTAAAATGATGACCCTCACTGTGGTCTTTGCTCATTCATTTTAGTGGAGTACTTATTTTCCCCTTTCTATCTAGAAATCCACATCCTCGTTTTGTGGAGTATTTTCTTCTATTCTTTTTCCATGCTCTCTTTCAGCTATTCTTATTGCTTCCTGGATTGGTCTTTTTATGTTTTTTTCATTTTTATTTTTTATCATTTCACCATACTTTCTTTTTTTGGTAGAGGTTTTTGCTATAGGGCGTGTGTGCTCGCCAGAAAGACAGAGAGAGACAGAAAGCGAGAAATCACCCCCAAGGGGGGATGGCCACGCTGCAATCCCTTCTCCTCCATTCTCCTCTCGGGATCTTGGGCACGCACGCACACGTGCCAGGCGTGAGTTTAAGCCACAGTCTACTACATGGGAGTCCAGCAACATAGCCATTACACTAACTGCTGGTCCCTCGTCATACTTTCTTAGGAAATTGCTCCAGTATCCAAATTCTTCTAATGGAATTTTTTTAGTATCTCATATTTTTTCATGTATAAGCAATCTTTTTCGCAATTACTTCTGCTTCTTAGCATCTTGTTATTGGTTCATAAATCGGTTCTCGTCTTTTATATATATATATGGATTAGAATTATGATTTTTGAAATTTCCTTCTGATCTCTGCATTGTTTTCTCTAGATTTCTTTATTCTGTTTGTTTCTTTGGGCTGCTCACTTTCATGTACACAGCTTTCTACAACTGTCTAGAGAATTTTGTTCTTTTTTTTTTTTTTTTTTTTTTTTTTTTAGTTTTGTGTGTGTGTGCTCACTGGAGAGAGACAGAAATGGCAGGTGGTGAGTGAGGAATCACTCCCCAGGGGGATGGCCATGACACAGTCTGTTTTTACACATTATCCTCTCTGGATTTGGGGCATGCACTCACACCCAGTGTGATTTTCAAGCCAGTTTTTCAGTTCTGGGACTTGAATTGCAGTTGATCATATGGGAGTCTGGTAATATAATTGCTAAGCTATCTCTCTGGCCCAGTATAGTCTTTGTTGTTATTGTTATTATTTTTTAAATTTAATTTTATTTATTTCCTTTAACTTATTTATAGTTCTGTTACTTAATTACAATCTTTTTTTTTTTGGAGAGGTTTTTGCTATAGGGCGCATGTGCTTACCAGAAAGACAGAGAGATAGAAAAAGTGAGAAATCACCCCCCGGGGGGGGATGGCCATGCTGCAATCCGTTCTCCTCCATTCTCCTCTTGGGATCTTGAGCACGCACGCACACACACCTGGTGTGAGTTTAAACCACCAGGTCCAGGACCTGAACTGTGGTCGACTACATGGGAGTTCAGCGACATAGCCATTACGCTAACTGCTGGTCCCTAATTACAATCTTTAAATGTTATTTTGACTATCTATATTTTGTAGGCCAAATAGTATATTTTTTTATTGTGGTGAAGTGTACATAAAATTTACCATTTAAACATTTTAAGTATATGATTAAAATCTTAAATACTATCAAGTACATTCACAGTGTCGTACATCCATCTCCAGAACTTTTTCACCATCCCAAAATGAAATTCTGTACCTATTGAACAGTACCTCATTGCCCAATAAATCACCATTTTCCTGTTTGGTAAATCTGTGAATAAAACTTTATAGATTTAGGCTATTTCTTTTCAGCTTCAAACTACCAATAACAGTATTTTCTTAAAATTCCCACTTTTTTTTATTGAGTTGTCAGGAAAGTTATGATGTATTTTTCTATGCAAAAATGTATCATGACTTTTCCAACAACCCAATGAAATTTTGCCAGAGTACATGTGAGTTGCCAGAGAGACAGAGAGAAAAAGAGGGAGAGAAGGAAAGTAAGAAAGTACCCCTTATGTAGAATGGCCATGGCACAATCTCTTTTCTTCCATCTTTCTTCTTTCAGGATTTTGGGCACATATACAGATATACCCAGAGTATTTTTCAAACCTTTGGGTCTAGTACCCAAATCGTGCAACTGGCTATGTGAGATCCAGCCATCTTAATCACCACACCACCAGCTGCCTCAAATATTTTATTAAAGATGAGTAAAAATAGGAAAATAATTTTATATATATATATATACACACACACACATACACACACACACACATACATAGTTGCTGTAAGGTACATTGGCTCTCTGGAGAGACACAGAGAGAGAAAGAGAAAGCCAGGGGGATGGATGGCCACACTGCACTCCCTTCTTTTCTGTCCTCCTCTTTGGATTTGAAACATACACGCACACACATGCACACACGCCTGGCGTGTTTATCAAGCCACTCGGTCCAGGACATGAGCAGTGTAATTGACTGTATAGGTTCCAGCTGCCTCAATCACTTACGCCACTGGCTGTCCCAATACTTTTCATTTTTTAAAAAATGTCTTATAGAGAGCCTGGAGGTGGCATGGTGGGTAAGGCACTGGATCCCACATGACTGACTCTGTAGTTTGAAACCCAGACCTGGCAGCTTCAAAAACACGCTGGGCACGTATGCATGCATGTCCAAAATTCCAAGAGGAGCATGAAAGGAAGGGATTGAGATGTGGCCAATCCCCCTGGGGGTGATTTCTTATTTTCTTTCTCTCTGTCTATCTCCAGTGATTGCACATCCCCTATGGCAAAAATATAAAATATAAAAATAAAAAGTCTTATATAAATAGATTCTGCTGATGCCATGTAAAAAATAACTTGTTTCTATGTCTGAAGGGCCAGGGAGTGGCTCATCCACCCATCCACACTTGAATCCTGGTGTTCTCCAAGTGAACTTGTATATAATAGAGCTGTCAGTTGATTCCCCATTTTGCCTCTGAATCTAATATTTTCCTGGCCCCAAACTTTGTTCTTACATTCCTCAGTCCTTATTTCTCAGCACTCCCATTTTTAAGTCATTGAAGGGCAAACTAGTGTATTCTTACTGTGATCTTCTCTCCTAATACTTGAGTATAACTGTCTCCCCTTTGCTATATCAATTACTATTCTTCTACACCATGATCTGTCTTTAAAAATATGTTGAGGGGTCAGCAGGTGGTACTGGACCCCTCTACATGCCCAACCATGGTTTGGGTCCCAAACCTGGTGGCTTGCTTTCTCACTACTCCCCATTCCCCATCTCTCTCAATCAAACTAGAAAATAATAATAATAGTAATAAATAAAGTTAAAATAATTCTTTAAAAAATGTTTAAATTTTTCATGTTTCTTTGGTTCTTTCCTATTCCTTGTCCTTTTTATTTTATACCTTTTTAATTATTTAATTTTCTTAGAGTTTTAGGATGAGAAGAAATCATGAGAAATAATCTGCAGTATTTAACCACAAGTCTAAAATTAATTAAATTTTAGGAATTATTTTATTTTATTTATTATTATTTGTTATAGGGTATATGTGCTCACCAGAGAGATAAAAAGAAGGAAACTGAAAAAGAAAGGTGCCAGGTCCAGGCTTCAAACTGTTGTCAGCCCTCTGGGAGTCCAGCACCTAAACCACCACGCCACCTGCTGGCCCCAGTAATTAAAATTTTAAATTAACTGAGACTAACTTTTCAATACTCACAACTTTAGCAATCTGTGAGTTGGTGAACACATTTTGTGTTTTCCCAATCAGATTTCTCGGATTATTGAGGTGACTAACATAGCTTTCTTATTTAAAATTCTCTCTGGGGTGGAGTAAAAGGGAATATGTTGATCAAAAGGTATAAATTTTCAGTTAGAAGATGAAGATTCTATAGTTCTAATGTACAGCATGTTAACTATAATTATATTAATAATAATGTGTACTTGTGGGCTGGCCCCTTGGCCCAGTGGTTAAGGAAACTGAATCCCACATGGCCAACCATGGTTCTCAAGTCTTGGCTCCAGCAACTTGAAAAACATGCTGGGTGTGTGTGCATGTGTGCACCAAATCCTGACAGATAGGAAAATCGAGGGAAACAGATTGCGATGTGAACATGCCCCTTTGGAGTGTGCTTTTCCCTCTCCCTCTCTCTCTGTTTCTCAATCTCTGGTGAGTATGTGTGAAAAATAAATAAATAAATAGTGTATACTTTGAAATTTGTTAAGGGAGTAGACCTGAAGTGTTCTCAGCAGACAGACACACAAACCACACCACACACCAAATGGCAGCTGTGTGGGGTGCTGGGGATACTAAGAACCTTGATTATGGAAGCCATCACACAAGACCTACTTATATCAAAACACTATACTGTTTACCTTAGATGTGTGCAGTTTTCAAATTTGTGAATCTTAATAAAGCTTGAAAAAACAAATACTAAAACATTTTTTATCAGGTTTCTAAAGACAAAGTTTTTCTCTAATTCTAATGTAAAATGGTTATATTTTGTTCTGATCCATGGTAAGTACTAGAATATTATTTCATTCTTTTATCCTGTCATTTAGTGGATGGAAGCACGGTGTATGCAGAGAGTGTGATTCTCACTACCGGGACGTTCCTGAGAGGCATGGTTGTGATTGGATTGGAGATGCATCCGGCAGGACGTTTAGGGGATCAGCCTTCTATGGGGCTGGCTCAGACTCTGGAGAAATTGGGGTTTGTGGTAGGAAGGTTGAAGACTGGGACTCCACCCCGCATTGCCAAAGAGTCCATTAATTTCAGCATTCTAAACAAGCAAATGCCAGATAATCCATCTGTACCGTTCAGTTTTATAAATGAGACAGTATGGATTAAGGTAAGCAAATTTTTCTTTTTTTTTATTTTTGAGAGTTTTTTGCTACAGGGTGCGTGGGCTTGCCAGACAGAGAGAGACTAGAGAGACAGAAAGTGAGAAATCATCTCCCGGGGGCATGGTCATGCAACAATCCGTTCTCCTCCATTCTCCTCTTGGGATCTTGGACTCTCACGCACTTATGCCCGGTATGAGTTTAAGCCACCGGGTCTGGGACTTGAACTGCGGTCGACTACATGGGAGTCCAGCGACATAGCCATTATGCCAACCGCTCTGCCCAAGGTAAGCAAATTTATGGAAATCTGGCTTTAAAACTAATATTATCTAACCATTTTATATCTTTTATTTTTTGGCAGCAATTCATTCTACATCACTATTGCTTATGGTACAAAAAAAATCCTTTGCAAGGATTAGCTAATTTGGTGTTTTCCCATAAATTCTTTAATCTCATTACTTTTATAATTACCTATTTTGTAAATTAAAATTTTTGAAACAATTTCAGATGTACAGAAATGTTACAAGATTATTTCAATAAACTCCTTTAAACTTGAAGGCTACCCATTGTTAATATTTTACATACTTATCTCTACATAGAGAGAGATAGACATATCTATAGATATAGATGTGTATATTTAATGTATAAGACAGTAATATACACATTTATTTATGTATTTATTTAAAGAGAGATTTTTGCTATAGGGTGCGTGCACTCACCAGAGAGACAAAGAAAACAAGAAATCACCTGCCAGGGGTTATAGACATGCTATAATCTTTTCTCCTCCTTTTGCTCTTGGGATTTTGGGCATGCACACACATGTGCCCAGCGTGAGTTTCAAGCTTCTGGGTCCAGGACTCGAACTGTGGTCAGCCATGTGGGAGTCCAGCAATATAACCATTACACCATCTGCTGGTCCCTATTCTTATCCTTTTTGAATATCAGAAAGTAAGTTGCAGAGACCATAAACCTTTACTTCTACCTTCAACCTGTATTTCAACTAAGTATAAAGACATGCTCTTATATAACTTCAATGCAGTGATAAAATTTGGGGGATTTTACATTGATCAATTTGATATCTAATATAAAGTCCATAACCACATTTTGCTAACTGGCCCAGTATTGTCCAAAGCAATCTCTTTTTTTTTTTTTTTTTTGAGAGATTTTTGTTATAGGGCGCATGCGCTTGCCAGACAGACAGAGAGAGACATAAAGACAGAAAGTGAGGAATCACCCCACAGAGGGGATGGTCACGCCGCAATCCCTTCTCCTCCATTCTCCTCTCGGGATCTTGGGCACGCACGCACATGCGCCCGGCGTGAGTTTTAAGCCACCCGGTCCAGGACACGAACCATGGTCGACTACGTGGGAGTCCAGCGACATAGCCATTACGCTAACTCCTGGTTCCCAGCAACCTCTTTTTTAAAAAATTTATTTAATTTTAATTATTATTATTATTTTAAAATATGCTATGGGGCATGATGCTCACTAGAGAGAGACAAAAAGTGAGAGAGAGAGAAAGCAAGCTGCCAGGTGCAGACTTGAACCGTGATCTGCCATATGGGAATCCAGTACCTTCACCACCACACCACCTGCTGGTCCAAAGCAACATCTCTTAAGGACCAGGCACTGAATTTGATTGTCATTTCTCTTTAATCTGGAACAGTTCTCAGTTTGCGTCATACTAATATTTTTTAAGGAGACAGGCCCCTTCCCCTTTCTTTTTAGGGTTTTTTTTTTTTTTTTTAGAAGTTTTTGCTATAGGGCGTGTACGCTCGCCAGACAGACAGAGAGAGACATAGAGACAGAAAGTGGGAAATCACCCCCTAGGGAGGATGGCCATGCCGCAATCCCTTCTCCTCCATTCTCCTCTCGGGATCTTCGGCACGCACGCACACGCACCCGGCGTGAGTTTTAAGCCACTGGGTCCGGGACGTGAACCACGATCGACTACGTGGGAGTTCAGTGACATAGCCATTACGCTAACTGCTGGTTCCTGAGTGTTTTCTTTTATTATTAATTATTATTTGACCAGAGAGAGAAAAAGAAAAGGAAAGTGAGAAAGCAAGCTGCCAGGTCTAGGACTCAAACTACAGTCATCCTTACTGTAGTCCAGCACCCCAACTACCACCTGCTGGCTCTTAAAAAATGTATTACATGTTTAGAATTGAGGATTAATCATTGATGGTCCTAGTTTCATTGAGTGTTATCCTGATGAGTGGCTCCAAATACTCTGTTACTTTGAGCAGGTCATTTTTATATTTTTGCAGTGCAAAATATTGTACAGTGCAAATTATACTTTCCTAGTGTGTTTATTTTTTAACTTTCCATTGTAAATTTTCAAGTTTACACAAAGTAGGTAAATATTAGGTTGTCAGGAAAGTCATGGCATATTTTCCTATTTTTCTATACAAAAATGTGTCTTGACTTTCCTAGTGACCCAATAATATAATAAATCCATGTTTCTCTCACTGAGCTTCAACAATTAAAATTCTTTTTTATTTATTTTTTAAATTTATTTGCCAAAGATACATGGGCCCTTCCAGAGAGACAAAGATAGGGCAAGGGAGAAAGCACTCCCTAAATGAGGTATGGTCACCTGCAATCCCTTGTCTATTTCTCCATTCTGTTGGAATTTTGGGTGTGCACACGCCTGCACCTGGTACGTTTTTCAAGCTGCTGGAGCTGGGATCAAACCATGTGATCAGCATGTGGGATCCAGCTCCCTGAACCCTAGACTACAGGGCTGGCCCAAACATAATTTCTTGACATCATCAGTGTTTAATTTTCCCTGATTTCATTAAAAAATTATGTTTATTCTATGAATGAGAAAGATAGAGAGACAACACTCCCAACATAGTCTTGATACCATGACCGCCCCTTGCTTTAGCCAACCCCTAAATCATGGATATACACATGTCCAGTGTACTTGGAAAGAACACATGTGAACCAGACCTTCCCATGTGGGTCAGCCTCAGAGCGTCTCTTATTTTACTTCTGTGCCACCATATGGCTCCCTCAAAAATATTTTTTACAATTGTATTTGGACCCAGTAACCTTCAAATATGGTCCACACATTGTATTGGATGATATGTTTTATAACAATACCCTTCCTTTTCTTTTTTACTTTTCTTCCTCTTAACATATATATGTATATAGAAGAAATTGAGTTACTTTTTAGAACTTCCCACACTCTGTATTTGTCTGATTCAAACTACTGGTGCCTTAAACATGTTCCTCTGTCCTATTTCCTTAAAGTGATAGTAGATCTAGAAGCTTACTTAAATCTATGTTCATGGTTTTTGGTTTGTTTTTTTTTTTGGCAAATACTTCATAAATAATATTAGGCATTACTTATAGATTTAATGTCTTAAAAGTAAGTTTGTATCATGTGGGATTTGAGTAAGAGGCAAACGAGTAGAGTTGCAAAACAGTAATGTAACTGGTTTTATGTTTAAGCCAGAAGATCAGCTGCCATGCTACTTGACTCACACCAACCCTCAAGTGGATGAGATTATCCTTGGGAATCTTCACCTTAATAGTCATGTTAAGGAAACCACAAGAGGACCCCGGTAAGGACAAAATATCAGTGCTTAGGTACATTAAGGAATGATGTCAACTCTCTTTTGTTCACTTCAGTTCTTTTAATTTCGATGCCCTTTTCTAGATACTGTCCCTCCATCGAATCAAAAGTTTTGCGTTTTCCAAACCGTGTACATCAGGTTTGGTTGGAACCTGAAGGAATGGATTCTAACCTTATCTACCCGCAAGGGTTATCTGTGACACTGCCAGCTGAGTTACAAGAGAAAATGATCACATGCATCAAAGGCTTGGAGAAAGCGAAAATGATTCAGCCAGGTAAAGCTCATAGCTGCCCATCAGGGTAAGCTCAGCATTGTTTCATAGTCAGTGAGGAGGTCTTAGCTGCGATTGGGGTTGCTTAGAGCCTCAGAAGATGGAGCCCAACATTTGTTCATTTAGAATAGTCTCTTACCATGAATGGCATTTCATGGTAATCTTTGTGTCTTTC